ACATATATATATAAACATAAAATACATATAACATAGCATCATGGTTGAGACTCCTCCCTACGAGGTAGATGTCAACAATGCTACATGGGAAGAGATAAAGCGAATTGGGTCTCCGACCAACACCAGTGTACAATTGTCGCGTAGAGCTAATGGAAACAATAACATCAGTATGTCTGGACACACAAACAATTTGGGTACAAGACCAGCGGAAAACATGATATCAAAGGAGTCTACCATGACGCCGAGGTATAACACATCAACCCCTCAGTTGTCACAACAGGAACCGACACTCGGTGGGTATGGTAAGCATGCTAACACGGCAAATGATGGTACTCAATCATCCCTCACCGGCACACAGCCGGTGAATAATACTAGTACTGGTGCTTTACTAGCCAATAGCGATACTCGACCAGCGAATACTGGTGTACAAAAAGCCGGTAGCGCTACTCAGCCAGTGAATAACGGTGCACAACCAGTAAACATGGGCACGCGGCCTGCAATCAACTATACAAATGGTACTGGGACCTTGCCAGCAGTTAAAAGCATGTCAAATGGTTCGAGAAATATGCCGACAAACAGTAAATCAAATGATACGGTGCACCATAGGACATCATCACATACATTGCACCCAAACAATCCGAATAGGATTCATCGACTAGCTAATGATGTAACACATTCAGCTAGTAACGGGACACATTCAGCCAGAAACGTTATATCAGGGAACTCAGCGTTCACACCGAATGGCACTACACCGACAGGTATGATACAACAGCAGACAACGTCTCAACCGGGATATATGAATACTGTGGATAGGACTATACAACCCACCCAACACATTGCACAGCCGATCAATAGTGGCTGGTCAAAGTATACAGCACACCCGCAGATGGGTAGTACACCAACTAATATGATACAACAGTTAGACACGCGCCACGATGGGAACGTAAACAACTCCAACAGGAACGTGTTGTCAGGGAACACCGGTGTAACTCATTCAGGCAGTAACGGCACATCCAACGACTCAAGGATGTCGCTAAACACCTCTAGCTCAACTGCTACGATGCCACATCAGACACACCTGACCACGTCTTCTACACACTATGAGGGTATGCCTCTACATAGGTCCATACAATCCAAAAGTGCTAACCTACCCGAAAGCATGAATAAGCCTAAACTGATCGGGAAAGGCATTTCTCCGAAACCGCGTCAGCCGAACACTTCGCAGGGGGGGATTGCAGGTAGTGGGAATGCGATTAACGGAAATATGGTACGGTCCAATCAAGCGCCTCCGCCTGCACCACATCCTCGGGTGCTTGGATCGATCAGGGCTCCGTTAGATTACAGGACAGATACGCATGGTTTAGGTAGAGCCATTTTGGGCGAGCCACCCAGGCCTGTGATACTAGAGAGACCGGTGGGCACGCAGAGTCAGGCCAGACGCGACGCTCAGCCCTACAAGTCTCGTGTGGAGCACACACGGCCACCTGCTATGAAATCAAACACGAACTCAAGTAGTATCACCAGCTTACACGGCAGTATCTACTACAACAGTTCTACTGGCGGTACCACAGGCCCACCCATGAATAGCATCATTCCCGCAAATCCGCCTGCAACCACAGATACGAATATGTGGCCGAATACCGTCACCCAGACTCATGGGAATGCAGCTGCACAGGCGAGGTACACCCTTTCTAATGCCACAGCACCACAGAGAGATGCCAGTAGCATACACAATGGTGCGCCTCAGAGGCCGATCACGACTGAGCGGGTGGTTATAGATGCGGATCCTGCAAGAGACACCGCAACTCGGGCATCAGGGGGTGCCACTACGCTTATGAGCTCGCATGCGCCTATGCATAGGAGTGTGAATTCGGATCTGAATTCCAATGCGACCGCTAGAGCTGTTGTTAGACCACAGGGTGCCATGTCTGCTCCAAACCACACCACCGTCAACAACAATACCAACGGTACTAGAAACACAATTCAATCGTCGAGTGTGTTCGGTCCCAGCCAAAGCCACACTGTCCCTAACACGGTGCAGTCATCGGGTGTGCAGAGTGCCACTCACACCTCGCAAGCGCCATCGAGTGCGGCGAGCAGGGTTGCCATGGCAACGGCCGGAAACACGGCCGCCGCAACCCCCCACACCCTCACCCGCACGCCCACCCCCACCGCCGACAACGTCGCTGGAATACACAACAGTGCAGAGTACACGGCCCGGGTGTGGAATAGAGTGGCTGGTATGCCTGCGACGGATGAACAGATAGCGCGTGCTGGCCTGGTGGAGGACGTAGCACGTGCGGCGGCGGTGGTGCCGTCGGTCGGGTTAACGGGGCCGACGCGTCTGGAGGTGTATGAGGACCTGAAGAATATTGAGGGGATCGAGGGTTTGGGTTTGGGTTTGGGTAAGAATGGGCTGCCGTATAGCCAGAGTTCGCCTAGTACTGATACGCCAGGTGTGTTTGAATGTAGGGTTTTGTTTCAAGTGTTTTGAGTGTGTATGGTTTGGGTATAGCGTGCTCGAATGTGTTTGGTTTAAGTGGAATCTGCATGGTGTGGTCAAATGGGTTAGAATGTGTACACTTGGATAGATATGCGTGTATATACCTGTGGTGCTGTGAAGGTATGGCGTGGGATTGCTCCTGTAGTAGATGTGGAATGCACGAGTCTGTGAATGTAGTGTAGCTGTACTTTCTACTGTAGTATGAATACCACACAAACGTACTGTGTTAGTAAAGGATAGTTGTTTTTATATTTTAAGTATGTAATATATGGGCGTGTATGTATGTATCATATGGGCGTGACACGTGTAAAGTACATGTACCTATACGTACCTGTAGTTATTTGAGGCTATGCGCAAATCACGGATACGGTGTGGTGGCATGTACATTATTGGTTCATCCATCCTTTTTACGCACATGACAGTTTTACAATATGCTTCCAAATTAATTATTCTGAGTTGATGGACGGATACGCGTGATTGGGCACGTACAACTACCCCCTACAGCACAACAACTGGGTTTCAGTTGTTTGACGTTCCTCATATTCATACTCACCTCCTCCCTTTCCAGCTCCCGTACCTGAGGTGTTTGTGGAAACACCACACAACACTGGCAATCCCAAACAACTGCCACTTATGCCGCGGCAAAACTCACTTGCTCTAGGAGAGCACGTAAAGACTCTAAAGCCGGACAGGAAAGTATTGGAAAAATTGCCACCCTATGACGAGGAGACCGCATTTGTATGTGAGAGCTTGGTTTATCATTGTATATTTTTAAATGTATATACATGTTTGTATGTATGTGTATGTTCAAATGGATGTACATGTTTGAATGTATGTATATGTTTAAAATGTATGTATCTGTTGGAATTTATGTACATGTTTAAATGTATGTACATGTTTAAATGTATGTATCTGTTTAAATGTATGTACATGTTTAAATGTATGTACAAGTTTGTATGTATGTACATGGTTTAATTCATGTATCTGTTTAAATCTATTACATTTTTATATGGATGTATATGTTTAAATGTATGTGTGTTTGTCTGAGCACATATCCGTATATACTTTCTGCGAATGGAATGTGCATCGTGTCTCCCTCTTTTATGTGCTGCGATTTGTTTTTAAAGAAGACGTAAAAGATACGAATTCTTGAGCCAACTCTTCCCATATATATGGGTGTTGTTATAGATGCATAGATATATGAAAGAATACCTGTCCTCGTTCGTCCATAGTTTCGATTACATATAGTCGCAAGATTGATGGAAGCAAACACTCTGCGATCAGAAAATGACATGTGTGCCTATATACGACCCTATGATAAATGCGTTTGATAAATATTCAGCCTGCAAAAAGGTACACTGTGATGGTTATATGCAATATACTGTGCGTTATGCTCAACGTTGTGCTGGAACATCAACCACTGAGCGATGAACCGAATCTTACATATATATATATGTATGTTATATATTATGCTCTATATGTTATATATATATTTGTTATGTTATACATTATGCTCTATATGTTATCTATGTTATATATATATATATATTATATCGTGTATCAATGAATCATTAGCAGATAGACAATATATTTACATATATATATATATATATATACTGCACTTGTCGTTAACACTATACAAAGTCGTGATGGTTCGCCCTTCAAGCAATGCGAGCAATCCTATTGTAGCTTCAAAATGTGTCCTTATAATGTGATTGTTAAGGCTATACGTTGTTTCACTTTTTCTATCAAGCAGATAGGATATATCAATTTATATGAATACTGTGTTATGCTCGTACATACCTTCCCTACGCCCTCATCAACTCGAATATCTCCATCCGTGCTTGTGCAGTATCTCCTGATCAGTGCCCAAAAACTCGCGGGGACTCCATGGTATGGCACAGTTGAGGAGATGAGCAAGGAGATGGAGAGGAAGGGCACGCTGCCACATCGATATGATATCAACTTCAATGTGCGCCAGTACACAGCCGAGGAATACATCTGGAGGCACACGTCGGTATGTCCTCAGCACGAGAACGAATGGGACGCGTTGAATGTGCTTGGTTAAGTGCACGTTGCATATGCTTAACGCGTAAGCATGTCGTAGTGTTGCCTATGCTTTGTATTTATACCAACCCTGAGCTCATCAGGGCGATACTCAATAGTTACCGTCTCAAATGAGGGCGTGATGCGGCCAACTCGACGTCGGTTGGTTTCTGTATGCTCACTCTATACTAGTCAAGTTTAATAAGCTGGAGAATGCTCACTCTGGAAAGGGTAGTCCATATGCTTTCTGTCAGTTGGTTTCTGTATGCCCACTCTATACCAGTCAAGTTTAATAAGCTGGAAAATGCTCACTCTAGAAAGAGTAGTCCATATGCTTTCTGTCAGTTGGTTTTTATATGCTCACTTAATACCAGTCAAATTTAATAAGCTGGAAAATGTACACTCTGGATATGGTAGTCCATATGCTCTGTTTAAATCTAAAGAGAGCGGC